ATTACATTGATCTCAGAATAAACAAGGTCTCATTGAAGGTTCGAATTAATTCCTTGTTGTATCAATGTAGGCAGGTCGATTAGGCGTACTGTTGTAAGACCTGTTCGTTTCTGTATTGTCGAATATGTTATAGAATGAAATATGATCATAGGCATCAAGGTAGCTTGTGTTGTATGGAGGGATTTTGTGGGCCAGTGTAAGATCCGTTTTGAATGTTTTGCGTGTGAAAATCCCTCCATGCATACACTAGCAGTTTCTTCCTATTGATTCCATTAGTTGTACATTGTTAGTCTTTTTGATTCCATTTCACTTGTTAATATTTGTATTTTGTTATAGTTTCGATTTTTCTTACGCCTACACTAAGTTTCCGTGTTTCTTCTCGAACTGCACTTATGTTGTTTTACTTTATACTTAATCTTGGCGGCAGCCATATTGTTTTGTTCCTCCTTTTGATTGCCTTGCTTGTATTGACTAGAATTATGAATTTTGATTGTGAATTGAGGCACTCTTCCAGAATTGGAAACACTCTGTGTTATAAAGCAATCAAATATTATTTTTTGAACGAATCTGTGCGTAGTCTATCCGGTGAGGATAGAACAGCATTTGTTTATTGTGATTGGTAATTTTCTTGCATCCTTTGTGAACTTCCATATTTATTGTAATTTAGATTTGTTTAATTCAACACTTATTGGTTGGATAGGTGGGTGGTCATATTTGTTTAGGTCACAATGTGCATTTGAAAATAGGTGTTATTAAAGCTGTAAACTTCTCATATTAGGCTGGGCCAACAGTGGTTGTCAAGAAGTAAAATGGAAACGTTCACCTACCTATAGATTCCTCTATCGGACTACGTAAACAGTTAAATTTTCGTCAGTATCCTTTGCAACTAACAGAAGATTTCTTCGCCACGATGAAAGGTGAAAGGTATTTTGAGAAACTAGATATATCAGACACATGTTTGCAAATACCTGAATATGACGAAAGTAAAATCTATTAACGATCAACATGCACAAGGGTCAGTTTCGATATAACCGACTATATTTTGGAGTGAAGACGGCGCCCTCTATTTCCCAGCGAATAATGGTTACCATGCTACAAAGTACTCCAGAAACAGTAGCTTAATAAGTTCCCAACCTTCCTTCATATTCTTCTAGTCTTTCAACTTCCACTTTCATCTTGTTCTTTGCTTTCCTCAGTGAAAAATTCTTACCACATTTCCGTTCTTCTTCATTTTGTTTAGAAAAGCCGTTAGTCATCACTCCACTTAATTGAACAGTATCGTCACACGGACCTAGACTTCTAGAGCTGTTTGCAATATCCTTTGACTCATTACAATGTAATGATCAATCCGACCGCTTGTTTTCCTCTCTGACAATTTGCTTGTATTAATGATGTCTTGACTAGTGCCATATTGCTTGACTTCAGTATATCTTTCAAATCCAGTCTTCAAGCTGATCCGTCGCATTTGCCTTGGGTGGTCGAAGCGAACCACTGGAACAAAACTTAACTCACTTAATTCCCTTAAGCGAATAAGGACATAACTGGGAGTGATAAGTAATGGACAGTGCACCGCCTCATGATATCACTCTGATATATTCACTTGCTTACTGATCTCATGCGATGAACTGGATTTACAAAACACGCAAGCGTATAAACAATAAAGCTTCCTCTATATTGGTAAGTCAGTATTCACGTAAATAAAGGTTACCGTGCGATAAAAAACCTCATCTGTCAAAACGAATCTGCAGTCTGTCAATGTGATGTCACTAAGTGAGATTATCTCACATCCTACTATTTCGGCCTACTAAAAGAACATATCATAGAAGGTTGGATGCATGAAGTTTGTAGTACAGTAACGATGAACGTTAAATTAAATCTTGTGGAAGTGTTACAGAAGGCATTGAAGTCCACGTAAATAATGTGGAAGTGAAACAGGTCATATCATCATGTGAACACGTGATGCTAATAGAGTTGATTTAGCCCAGTGATTAAAAACCTGATTATCATCCTTCGATAAATTAATGAATGCTGACTCTGAAATCACCATTGAAATCATCACTGAACAAGATTTTCTGACACAAGTCAAAACCAATTGAAGCATACTTTGAATGATGTTGGCGTTTTTCATTCTGCTTCATAGAATGTAAATGATACTATTGTCTACAAGTTGAATTTACAATTGATTTAAACGTCCTTGATATTCTTCAGATGATTAGAACGATCCGTAAAGGGGGATATTTTACTTGTTTAACTGGTGTGCTGTTCGGTTGTTTGAATCTCAGCATTCACAATGATGAAATTTTTTCTTTCCATTTCACCTAACACGGTGAGGAGTGCTGAGGTTAGGTGTAAGCCACTAGGTGAACACTGCAAATTCATTGATGAATTGGTGCTGTTTCACCTACTAGCACTACTAAGGTGTGCGTTAAAAGCACAAAATTTACCGCATTCTATGATATGAGCACGACTGGCGTGCAAATCAGTCGGAAGCAAGCGAGACTTGATTGAACCAGGACGTGATATCAGTCTCCAAAGTTACTGCCTGTTAATTTGAATCATATCAATAGGTGCAGCTGTTCGGGCAACTAGAATATCATCTTTTGATAAACTTACGAATGCTTTCTTTTCAATCATCATCCTCATTCATAAAACAAGATTGGTTGTCACACGTCAAAACCGCTTGAATCATAAGTCTAATGATGTTAGAGTTCTACATTCTTCTTTATTGAATTTAACTGATACTTTTGTGAAGAAATTGAATTTACAATTGATTGATTGATTGATTGAATAATTGATTGATTGAATAATTGATTGATTGATTAATTGATGATGATGATGATGATGATGATGATGATGATGATGATGATGATGATGATGATGATGATGATGATGATGATGATGATGATGATGATGATGATGATGATGATGATGATGATGATGATGATGATGATGATGATGATGATGATGATGATGATGATGATGATGATGATGATGATGATGATGATGATGATGATGATGATGATGATGATGATGATGATGATGATGATGATGATGATGATGATGATGATGATGATGATGATGATGATGATGATGATGATGATGATGATGATGATGATGATGATGATGATGATGATGATGATGATGATGATGATGATGATGATGATGATGATGATGATGATGATGATGATGATGATGATGATGATGATGATGATGATAAATTAATGTACTGCAAGTTCAGTTTGTTGATGTGAACTAAATTGAGTTGTTACTTATTCCGATGATCTTATATTGAAGAATGACAGTGAAATGTTTCACTTAAAATATTGTGTTTTTATCGTTCATGCAGATGTAGGAACATCTGCTTAGCCCGTGATTGCTTAACTCACAATCTTTAAGCATAACAGATGTTCTTTATATATGCATTTGCTGATTATATTTTGTAGCTGATCTGTTATATACGAGAATTATTAACTACGGTGTATTTTGTAGAGTTGTGTAGTTATATAATACAGTAGAGCAACGAGAGTTCTCCATTACTTGTCAGTTAACATTCGTTTCGATTCTCACCAAGTCAAATGCAATCAAACACACCTTCTGTATTGTATAATAATATATTAGTCATATCCCATTGAGTAGAAGCTCGAAATTGTGCAACTTAATAATCTTGAGTAAGCGGTCTCCTCGAAAATAAATAACGTTTTTCAGGTTAACTGAAGTCTGATTATTACAATTAATAAGTCGCTCTCTTCGTCCTAGTATTCTTGGATGCTCTAGTCCTCAATGCCGATTCTCAAATCAAAACACGACATGGATTAAACGATGATATATTCCTCTGTAAACAGAGAATTAATTCAGTCAAGCAGAAAATGTCATATTATACACAAATTTTAAACAGGAAAACTTCTATAGTTTTCTCAATTCAGCTACCAATCGCCATCAGTTGAAAAATGGACCTACTGCTGAGCTCCAACGATATCATCGAAACATGCTTTCATCAACCTTGCAGTTATTAACAACAATTCCTGAATAGAGAAGAATATTTATTACATGCGACCGATTCTTATGAATATTATTGTCATGTCAATGGTTTTATAACTTCGATCTGTTCATGATCTACGTAATATTCAGCGATCTCCAAACTGAGAATATTCATGTGACCATTTTTGGGAAGAGATTTCAAGAAAGATCAGCTAATTTCTTCTGTGACGAGTATGTGGAAGGCACTTACGAAAGACAAAAAAAGATGGTCGCGCAATGTCATGAATTGATTGAATCTAGATATTTACACCTTTGAATGTTCGTTCATTGATCGAAAGGCTAAGCATTCATTCACGCGAACGAACCACCTGTGTTCGACTCTCGTTTATGGAGTTTTACTAACTCATTATCTGATTCCAGTCATATCGCAGGATGATTGTCACTGTAATATGCATGTTGCCGATCCTTGAATATAGTTACCGACTTATATCTCATTAATGACTAACTGAATGAACTAGGTTAAATACGAGAATGAACATTGAGCGCGTATATTTCAAATTATTGTTGATCGAAAGCGATGCGAACCCAAATGACGCTCAATGCAGAAGCAGAGTGAGCCAAATCTATTTAAACAAGCGTGAATTGATATTTGTAGTCAGACCAAAATAAGTTCAGACATGTAATGAGTAAGAATAGAGCACACATACGCTTATATAAAACAATCAAGGTAGATAAGTGAATAAATAACAAGGTCAAAATGAAGCTGAAGAACAATGGGTAAATTGGTTCGCTCAGAGGCTAGAATAATCTTAGTGTACTTGACATAGGGCCAGCCATTACAGAGTCACGCACAGGAACCAAAGTTGAAGATTGTTTAGTCCATCGTAAAGTCTAAATCACCCAATTGAGACACGCGCAAAATCAAATTTGGCAAACACAACTGTTTCTCTAATACAGCGGTTCTTTATTGAATAATATACAAATATTAGCTACAAACCTCAACTTGTGGGTTGTCTGCTACGTTTACTGCGTCTTTATTCTGAAATAAGAAAGGCTTCCTGTAATAGTAACATAAAGAATAATTACAGAATACGATAGTGCAAAAGACAGCCGTTAGCTTTATCTAATATTTGTTTCAGTTTATCAACATACCAAACCGAACCAACAGCGAAGAATATGGAAACCGTTGTGTTTAAGCGTGGGTTAAAAAATGTACAAAATTATGGATAATTGCTACAATGTTTGCAATAAGGTATTTATAATGACAAATGCAATAAAAGTTATAAGTAGATGTCAACAAATCCGAATATTACACGACAAACTTGAGTAACAACATGAGCTTAAAAATTGCTAGGAATGGAAACCTATTTACTGAATATATATAAGTAGTATAAAACATTAGTCCAAAGAGTGGAAGGGAAGTGAATAAGAAAAGAGAATGTAAAACAGTAGCAAGTAGCAATCGATATTTGTGTTTCATTGACATTCAGTAGTTTCTTGTCTTGTTAAGCTTGCTAAGCTTAATGGTGATAATGTGTTCAAGATGTTCATGAAGTTGATTCTAAACGACTTACAAGACAATGGAAAATATTAAATAAATATTTTCATTAAAAATCCATAAAAGTTCCATCAGTTTTATTGTTGCTTAATTCCATTGGAGATTGAGTATAAGTGACTGAGATTAGTACTGTGTTACCTACCTTACTTGCTTGTGCCTTCTACTCTCAACCAACCGGCATTCTCTAACCCACTCTTTCCTGGGCCTGCCTTTCTAGTTCTATCCAACTGTTGTTCATTCTTCTCATGTCTGTGTCCATTTATCGGCGTTACATATTCTTTGGTTTTCCTCCTGTCTTTTTCATTGAGGATTCCAAGTGAGGGCTTGCTTAGTGACGCAGTTCGGTGCTTTCCTCAATGTGTGTCCTATCCATTTTGAGCACTTGTTCCTAATTTCTTCCCCCACTGGCATCTGGTTTGTTCTCTACCACAGTAGGTTGTTGCCGTTAGTGACTGGCCAACGCATTCGAAGTCTTTTGAGTATAGAGCTGTTGATAAACACTTTTATCCTGTGGATAATGACTTCCTTATTTCTCCATGTTTCAATCTCATACAGTAGAACTATCTTGACATTTGTATTAAAAATTCTGACCTTGGTGTTGGTTGACAGTTGTTTTGAGTTCCAGATGTTCTTCAGTTGCGGATATGCGGATCTTGCTTTGCCGATTCGCGCCGGGTGCGATGTTGGTGCTATTTTTTGAATTTTTGTACTTGATTTGGTATTTGTTGGAAATTTCAAATAAACTACGTTTTGATGTGCTCATCAAGCTCTATCCGTACAAAATTGGGCTATTCTGAAAACTCTTAATTAAGATATTCATTCAAGAGCTATGATTTATCATATTTTGTCAACAGATTTCATTGATGAAGTAATTTTGGAGTTGAAACAATCACAATAATTTACTTGCGCTTAAATCCTGTTGAAATTGACTAAACTCCGCCAGTAGCCCTCATGAGGTTACAGCCGTTCTCTGAGCCTGGGAAAGAAAAGAATGTTAGGCATGGAGTCAACAACTTCATCCCATAGAAAACAATCTTAGTAAAAATATGTGCTGTTCAGAGTAAACAATATTATTCCTCTAAACCGTGACCTGGCAACTGAAGGATCTTCGTTCAGAAGAAATATTACTCCTTATGGTGGAAGAGGAGAATTTTCAGAAATCACGAGGCCGATGCTCATTCTCGTAACCAGAGCAACAATTATTATGGACGTATGGAATATCCGTATGATGTAGGAAACCGGCGGACTAATCAGATAGCTAAGGAAATGAGGATATACAACCTGATGGTACTCGGAATGTCTGAAACATATTGGAACAAGCTAGACAGAAACGTTTCGATTCAAGAGAGGTACTGCTTTATTCTGGTCTCGAAGAAGAAAATGCTACACTCACACACAGAGCTGCACTGATGATGCTCAAGGAAACACGAAAAGTACTTATACGATGGGAATCCCATAGATTCATGATCATCAAAGCATCCTTCAGAACAAAGAAGCAAAGGATCATATTGAATGTTATCCAGTGTTATGCACCCATCAATGATATCACTGAAAACGATAATGAACAGTTTTACGAGAGGCAGTCGTCTAACGCCACAAAGTGCTTAGATGGGGATTTGACCATCCTGTTGGGAGAGCTTAACATCAATGTCAGAATGCACAAACACATTCATAAAAACATCAGTTGGAATACTGAAGATAAACAGGAAAGAGAAAAACCGAAGAACACACTGAGTTGAGAATTGTAACCCGATATCAGCAGCATGAATAAGGACTGAAAACGGATGGAAAAGATTGCTCAAAGCAGAGTTCGATGGATGATGATTTTGAGCGAGATATTGCTGATGGTATTCAATATGTTACGTAGACAATTGTTTACAAATACTTGTACCTATTCAAGTTTCAGCTCTGTACAAAAGGACTGCCTTGACGTTCGTATTAAGGGTTTGGATGTTGATATTGGTTGGCACTTGTTCCGACTCCCATATGTTCTTCAACTTTAGCAATATCGCCCTTAATTTACCAATCACTGCATTCCGTCTCTTCCAGAGCTTGTCCATCAAGTGTGATTGTGTTAGTGTTCTCTGTGGTGTGTTTGAGGATCTTGGATTTCCATTGTGTATGTTGAGGCCTACTGATGCAGAGGCTGCTATTTCACCAGTTATCTTGACCTGTACTTGTTCGTGTGTATGCGATAGAAGGGCTAGGTCAATTGTGAAGTTATGATCATCTAGTTTTATCCAAACTCTCTGCCATGACGTGTGGTTTCAGAAGTCTGATACTGATACACGATATGCTATGTGCTAACCACTCAACTGACTACTTGATCGAGAACTCAGTAGTGAGCGGGAAAGTGTATTGGGATACCGAATGAAGTGCAAAAACACTCTTAATCATACTGTCAAATGCTTTCTCATAGTTAAGGAAGTTGAAGTAAAGTTACAAGTTCTGTTCAATTGATTGTTCAAAAATGATGCTAGTGCGTAGTGTCACGACCGATTATTACTGAATGCAGCCCGTTGATCACAAAGCTGAGCATCTACTGAATCCTTTACCCAGTTCATCAACAATCTGTTGAAAATCTGTAGTGCTAGTCACTAATTTTAGCCCATAATATATCTTATTCTAGTTTTCGGACATTCCATCTATTCATTCTACTTGAGTCATATGTTGACCTTGTCAATTATTCG